GAGGCTCTGTTTCCCTTTTCACGTGTGTCCTGTCAGCACAGTGTCCTTGTACCTTAATGTCGGGAAGAACTGAGGTAAAAGGCTCATCTCTTGGTAATAACAGTTCCACTACAGATTAAACGCAGGTATTCCATTAGACCCATTAGGGTCATTTTTGCTGCAAAGTTCAGGATAGGTTTAAATGAGAAGCTGCTGTGGGTGGGTCTTGGTGGCAGATCAGAGGCTGATGATGGTCATACTCTGAATATGGGAAGTCATAGCAACAGCCTAGAGAGCTCACAGAGTATTGCTGTAGAAGTTTGAGATGACAGAGTTTTCCAGTAGTTTTCTTTATAATAACATGTTGTTTTTATTTTCCATGGTCTTCCATGCAAACCTTGCCCTCCCTCGCTGGACCTGTATTGTTGATATATTTGCTTCTACATTGAGTGTGGTGCTCAGTCATCTTTAGGGTACTTTAGTGGAAGATAGGAAGGCACAGTCCTGTGCTGTCCAGGATATAATCCATTTGCTTCATGTTCTTTCAAGTTTAATTGACTGAGGCATGTGGGAGATTACTGGAAAAAAATAATTTAAAAAAGCATTAAGTGACTCCATGATAATCAAGTGAATCGTCTGAAAATGCACAGCTGCAAGCAGTAATAATGCATAAGAATGTTCTTGTAAAGTACTTCTTAGGGTGACTGTTCTTTCGGCTGTAACAGTTTGGTGAGGATCATGGTCTTTGTTTCTGCTGCTGCTACTAAAAGTAGAGGGACAAAATAGAATGTGGCATAGGGGCACAGTATTAGAAAGGACATTACATGCCTGTGATCTGGTAGACATGCCAAGTTTTGAATTCTGAAGATAATCTTTCCATGCTATGAAACTTTGCAAGATTTTCAGAAAGATATTGCTGGAACCTTAATTGTGAGTCAGTATATGGACTTTATTGCGTTACTCTTTCAGCCCAAATTGCAGGAAGTCTCTAAATTGGAGTGTTTATTACTTAAAATCAATTAAATGTCAGTTTACTGTTTGGTTCAGAGACAAAATGAACAGCTTCTGGGCCAAGAGAGGATGAGGCTGTTCATTCTTGCCATCAAAACGAAGAGAGCAGAGGGAGATGGGTAGCACGTGTGCACTTCTGAGGTCTGCACTGGCCTCATGGAGTTTTGTAAAAGCGCAAGGTGACTCTTGTTGCAGTGGTCATTGCAAAAATCTCTTTGTAGTAGTCACTGCAGATAAAATATCTATGTAATCATACATGCAATTTTACTTTCAACATACTTGATTTAAAATAGTAAATATTGCTGTATTTCTGTAATAAATAATATTTCTGAGTAGTAGAGAAGTAATGGCATTGTGACAAATGCTGGAGGCAAAACAATTTACTCCTGTTTGTATTAATATTGGGCATGCACAAAAATGGGAACACTGCTTTGTGCAACATATGTTGAAGAGAAAAAAAGAAAATATGATAAAGAGATAGTGCCAGGTAATTTGTGCATTCTGAATAATCTTAAGTATTCTACTTACTTTATAAAAACCCCAGCAGTTTCAGTGTGCATGAAGGCAAAAATCTAAACCTCTGTAGTTTAGATGTAGAAGTACAGAGAACATGCGCTTGTGATAGGCCTGTACGCCGTTATAAATGCATTTATGCTTGAGGATGGATTCAGTGTTACTGTTTTCAGGCGTTTTGCAAAATGTAATTCCTGTCATCTTTGTTTTGCTTACCCATACACAATACTGTTTTAAGAGCTGGCATCCATTTCTGACAGCTGTATTAGGAAGATTGACTCATTTAAACATTATAGTTTAAAAAGGGGAGAGACAATATTCAAAACAAACATCTTCAGTATTTATTTTTGTAATGATTTTCTTTTCATAGTAAAGATACACGAGTAGACGGTTGTATAGACTAGAAGAGGTTTTGTTAAAGTCTATTTCCCAATGTTCTGTGTTTTTATTAATGCTTCAGTACAGTTGGCACTAGTGATTAAATCACAGCATAACTACAACAGTCTTGCAAGGCATGTTGTCCAAAAGCTGTTTCATGAACTGAAAAGAAGCCATAAAAGGACACACTCAAATTCAGAACAATTTGAAAAAAATCCTTATTTCTACTTCAAATTATTTACATGGCATGGGCATAAATGAAGCAATGAACTGTGTGGCTAATGGAAAATTTGCTTTCTTGAGCTTGATTCTAAAAGTGTGTCAAAGCACATACTAGAGCTCCTAGTGATTCCAGTGCCTCTCCTGATGGATGGAGTTTTACCCTACACATTTTCTGAGCTAAAAGTTTGTCTCCCAGTTGTCAGCCCACAACAACTGGAAACGCTTCTGTTTTTGTTTTTTTTTTTTTTTAAAGAAGTCTTCCTTGAATTGCATTTCTGTGGTAACACGTAGCTTTGTGTAGAAAGTATTTGTGTAGTAGTTTAGTATTTAGAACAGTTGAATGAATAGAATGTAAATGTAGAATTTGAAGGTCTAAAAAGGTTTTAAAAGATGGGAAAAAATGACATAAATGTGGAGAAGTCTGATCAGTAAGATACCAGTTTTGTTCTGCAATCAATGAAACAACATTTCTTCAGCTGCCTCGCTTGGCATGGAGCTAGGAGTGATGGAAATACACCTTTATTATTGTTCCTGAGGTCTGTAAATTATGATAAATTAAGAGGTTTGCAAATCCACATGCTGTGAATTACTGCTTAGTTTTACCTTCAGGGAGAAGCAAGAGTGGGAAGTCAGGAGAGACATAAAGTGATATTGAATCTCACAAGTAAATGCTGTCACAGGGCACAAGCATAACATTTAATCTGTTCTTAAAGGAAGACTATTCACTGGTGTGTTGTGTTCCACAGATAATCAGGGATATTTATGTTATAGTTGCCATCAGGGAAGATGGTATTGCTGGTATTGATGGTATCTTTCAGTCATAGGTTAATGCAACTGTATTATTAGGCTTAAATAGGAAATAAAATTGTTTGATACCACTGAAGTGAGAATAAATGAGGTTCAGCTGTGTGGGATATGTCTTTACTATGTATACACTCCATTCTCACCAACTGACTGTGTCAGTGGAAGTGCTGCTTTAAAATAATCTGTTGGAACAGAAAATGCAGATTCTGCTGATTTGCATTTTTTCTCCTGGGAAGGATACTTGTTTTCCTTGGAAAATATTTTCATTATAGTAGAAAATTGAGAAACCAAATTTTTTTTTCCTCAATTTTTCTTCTTTCATTTCCTTCTGAAATGTTCCAACCCTGGAGAAAAAAAACCTAGTGAAACAAAACATTTTCCTAATAGCAGCAAGAGCAAGTCAAATGAAGCTTGAAGATTTTCCATGAACTGTACTTACAATTTTGACAGCTTTCCTGTCTGCTAGCAACAATCCATAGACTTCAAAATTATCTGCAAAAACTGGGAAAAGAGAACGAGGTAGACAAACAGTCATGCTATCATCAGATCTTGAGGTAGAAATCTCAGTTAACAGAATGCGTTGTTCTGCACATTTTTTAAAATTTGAAAACAGATCTTGTAATTCTAAGAGAAAGAGAAATGGCTAACCATAGTTAGTGCTTTGTGAGGGTTAGCAAAGTATAATGTTTGTTTGCTTCAGATGTTCATTTCAATGTAGAAATCTTTTTTTTTTAAAATTAAAATAGTTCACAAAACAAGGCCAAATAAATCATCTGTTAATCGTTTGCTTTTCTGCACTTATTTGGAGCTCCACTTCTAAATAACCATTAAGGGCCTCACACAAGTGCTAGACCCAGAAGGTGATCATGTATATGTGAAGGAACAGCTTGTTATAGGATAGAGGCAGGTAGTGACACCTACTGCGCTGTTGCTTTGCCACACAGACATCAGAGTTGTGAAATCCCCCTCAAACTAGAGAAGGAAATCTGAAATTGAACTTCCAGTCTGCTTTTAGATGGTGAGTGGGAAGAATTCAGTATTTTGCCTCTCCCTCTCTCTGCCCCTCCCCTTCCTCTCCTTTCCAAACCACTCAGTAGTGGTGTTTTTTTTTTTTAAATTTATTTAAAGAGGGGATATTAAAACCCCCTAAACTTTGGCAATATCCCCTTAAGCCTCCTTATGCAGCTGCCTCAGTTCTCACCTGTGACAGTAACCCCCCTTTCTCCCTTTTTTTTGTGTCTGCGTGTTTTCCAGGAACTGGAACTCTTTCATATTTCTTTGCGAATACATTTCTGGTTGGCTCCTAGATTATTTATGTTGAGCTGAAACTGTAGTATCTGTGTAGGGGATGAAGAAAAGGTTTTGAAATCTGAACCTTGCAATGGAACTGCACGTAATACCAAACACATTGAGTCAGTGTTTAATAACACCACCTGAAAGCTTTTTTAACTTGAAGAATGGTGGGAACTTCCCCTGCTCAGCTGTGCCCTGGGAAACACACCCTCTTCATCTGGAATAGCCAAGGAGTCACTGATGGCTGGAAAAGGAGCAGGACAGCCATGGGTAGGCAGAG